TATGTTATTTTATGTAGAAAAAATTTCGTGAAAGTAGAAAATTCATCCCTTAAAAATTACATTAAAAAAAGAAATTGAATTAAAGTTGGTATAAAACGAAAAAAAAAACAGAAGAAAGTAAATTCCTTTCTTTTACACTTTCTATGACAAAATTTATTAGCTTAAGATTGTAACTTAAATGAAAAATAATACAAAACCTTTCATTGCCGTGGTCTTTATCTCTTCTGCAACATCTCGTTAATTCTTGGACAGGTTTTTTTTAATTTAAACATTCAAGGAAAACTAGCAACTTAATTATATGACAAACGGGGTGAGCACATTTTTGATGAAATATAAAGATAACGAGCAGTAATCAAGCTTACAGGTCCATTGATAGTATGCAAATTGGAAGAATAGCAAACACGGACTTCTAAAAAAAAACATAAGAAAAGGGGGTTCGGGTTCCAAGGAGAAGTAAGCTTCCCCTGTCGACCAGTCATTTCATGCTACTGAAAAATAAGTTGATGTTACAGGTTTTCCCCTGTTGACAATTCGTATTGTTTATTGAATTTCGAGATTGTCCACTGTTACAAAAAAATTTTGGTGACTCTAAAATGTTTTTCATAAAATGGAAAATAAACTAAAAAGCTTTGGATTCAATGCCAAATGTATTCTTGTCCATTGCACGGCTCTTTCAGTGGTGTTACTAAAAAAAGCAGCGAGGCAATTATTAAAATATGCTAAGACTGTTTATTACATGTGAGGTTCAATTATCATAATATTGTAAGTTCAATCATTATAATATCATAAGTTCAAATTTATTTTTTACCAAACTTATACATATACGTTATTCTATAATTTGTTATAATGATTTAGAACATTTGGACTTATTTTCTTCTCATTCTTGTTAATTACTTATTAGTAAAGTGAAAAACATTATCATTTAAGGAACGATCGGGAGATCTTAAAAAAACGTGAAAATGTTTTATACTGGGTTAATTTACAATGCTCTGAAAAGGGATATTGTAATATTTTTTTTTAAAAATTATCATGCATGTACTCTTTAGTTCTTTGCTATGAGCTTTAAAATGTAACTTCATCAGATAGTATTCAATTTTTATTTTTCATAATAGATATATATGGTACACGATCCCATCTCTAATGTTGTCAGAGGTCTGTGTTTGCTCTGCTTACAATTTGTATTGTATTTGGATTTTTGAGCTTGATTACTGCTCGTTATCTTTATATTTCAAGGAACATGACAACAACTCAAATTAATTAACTGATCTAAATATAACCTATATGAGTCAATATCAAAAATAGTAAACTTTGGGTTGATAAAGAAAATTTACTGCTGAGAACACGCTTTTAAAAAAAATCGACCAAAAACCTACATGGGGTGAGAATTTCTGCACTGTGTTCTGTTATAAAAATCCACTCCCAAGTTTCAGAGAATTTGTCGAATACCCCACCTTGTCAAAGCAATTTCTGCGAGATATGAACGTCTTTTATCTCGGTTATGCTTTCATGAGAAAATTCCACAACATACGTTCCTTTGGATTGAGCCCATCTAAACTGAAGAAATTACAATTATTGTACCGTATCATATTGTATTTGATTGGAAGAAGGCGTGTTTTAAATATATTCCTTGGTAACTAGTATTTTAGATAATCAATGGTTCCATAAGCTTCTTAGATATTGCTGATTCATCTACATCAACAGAAGTGACTTTGCCTTACCGTACTTCTATTATACCAAAACTTCATCAAAATTTTTACAAAAATTGATTGCAGGGTCCAGTAAATGTTCAAACATTTCCTTATCTTTACTCCAATGTATTAATTGTTGTGAATCTAAAAACCTGCAGTGCTATAATATATTCAGAAGGTGATGTAAATCACATTTTTTTTAAATAACGAGTATCAAAATGCATACTTTTCAATGCTTTATACAACCATTCCTCACAATAAATTAATGTCCCTGCTTTTTAGCATCATATAGACAACTGCGGCCTTCATAGAAACAAAGCTAGGAAATTTTCATATCGTGTGATCAGCGAGATAAAAAAAAAAGCTTCGTTAAAAATTATTCTGATTCTACAAACAAGTATATTGGAGTTGACATTTAAAAGATGTTGGAGTTCCCCGTTGTTATTATCTGTGTATTCCTTGGAGACCAGGGCTTGAAACAGTCTACTGGACTTCCAGTGGGTTTTTTTTTTCTTTATTAGCGGACCTATTTTTATATTCCCAAGAAGCAGACTTTATTCAAAGCTTCTACATCAGAAAGAAAATTCTTGTCATGGCTTTTAATCATTTCGATATATCGACGACGTTCTACCTACTAACAATGCCTATATCTATTCATATGTAAATTCGATATATCCCAGTGAACTCGAAATAAAAGATACCACAGAATCTGCCACATCTGTTTCATTCATGGATGTTTTTCTGACTATAGCTATAAATTGGTCAACTTTCCCTATTTGTATATATAGCAATATCCCACTATTACTGACATATAGTGTTTCTCTCTCCCAACTGATCTGGTATGAAAGAGCCGAGTGCCTCGGTAAAAGTTAGCATTTTGAAATTTTATCGTCATAATAACCTTCTTTGCAAATTCAACCTATAGTGCTGGCTAGAATGTATTTTGACTGGCAAGTTTCCAGCCAATTGCTAGGCCATTGTTTTTAAACAAATTTTGACTAACGGTTACCCAATGTCGACGGAGGATGTTCTCTCCCGTTAGACACCTGATCCCACCTATGGGTCTATGTTTGTGCCATTTTCACGATTCGTATACTTAACTAGATTATATATATTGATCACTGTTCGTGTCCTTCCCCTTTATCATTAATTAAAACACTTTCAGTAGTAATTCAGTACTAAATACAATGAAAACGTGGGTATTTTTACAATCATACTCATATGACATCAAGATTTCTGTGTCCGTCAAAAATTATGCCAATTAAACTAAAGTAGATCATTAGTTCGGTTTCATTTGCCCTATAAATTGTTTTAAAACAAGAGCTTCATGGGCCTTCACGATCACCTGACTGTCATGAGTTTCTCCAACTATGAACACTTTGGGTCTGGAATGAATTTCGACTTATATAACAAAAGTTTGACATTTTAGTAAGGACTCTTTGATTATTATCGTATTTATGCAGCTTATCTCCTACGCGTTTCGGAGTTTAAAAAATAAGGGGGGGGGGGGGATGTGAGGGTAAGGAACAGTAATCAATCTCAAAGTCCAATCAAACAATACAAACTGTGAGCAGAGCAAACACGGACCTCTGAAAACAGATGTGGGATTAGGTGCCATGGAGGAGTGAACATTCCCCGTTGACCAGCTTGTCACACCCGTCGTTTACTCTTTGTCATGACCGCGTAAATGGAAACATTTGTAGACAATTCAGTGTGAAAATAATGGCCTAACAATTCGTATGATAGAAGTCAGTCAACCTTCGACTTACCGATATATTGCACTTGCAAACAAGGTCATTGTATCGACCATAGAATTTGCGAAATGTTGATTTTTCAACAAGATTCTTCATATACTTTTCAACAAGATTCTTCATATCCTTGTTGTCGCCCGCGTGGCGCAGTGGTTAGAGCGTCTGCTCTAGAGTCGCGAAGTAAGGAGTTGATCCTTACGTCGCGGGTTCGAATCCAACTGTGGGACGTGGAGACCGGTCCTTCGGATGAGACCGTATAAACCGAAGTCCCGTGTCGCAGTAGGTGCTGGCACGAAAAAGATCCCTCACTGCTCAATGGCCGAAAGTGCCGAGTATAGGACAAAATTTGCAGCTCTCCACCGGCAAGTGGTGGCGTCTCCATATGAGTGAAAAATTCTCAAGAGGGACGTTAAACAACATATAATCAATCAATCATATCCTTGTTTCATCAACTTATTTGTCAATAGCATGCCTCTTTTTAGAAATTGATCGAACTTTGAACATGCTCTCGTGTTTCTAATCAACAGGGAACAAAAACACCATATGCAGGTGCTAATGGTATATTGCTACGGTAAGAGATGTTGATGATAGAAAAGTAAAAGTTATTACGTTTGTTGTTAAATTGCCTTCTGAAACAGATGTGCCCGACTCTGTGGTGTCTTATTTCGAGTTCACTGGGTTATATAGAATCATTGTAGAAATGAAAATGAACATTCTTAATTCATAAAACCTTGTCGACATATCTAAATGTCGAATTGAAGACCACAGCTAGAGATTTCTTTTTGTATAGAAGATTTTGAATAAATTCACCTTCCTATGAATTCAAAAATAGGTCTGTTTACAATGGGGCGCAATTAGTACCCATGGTCAGAATTTCGACTACTGTTGGAAGATTGATCTCCAGCTAATACATAGATATTTTCAATCAGAAACTCGAGCATTTTTCTTAAATATCAACTGCGGAGTACTTGTGTGTACAATCAGAATGTTTTCAACAAAATAATTTATATGGTAATCAGAATCCACCCTAAACACCTAAATTTTTCGAAGCAAGTTAAAAGGTATATGGTTTTCTGAATTCTATTGGATTTCTTTGGATAGACTATAGATCATTCAGGCCACGTTAGTTTGCGACCAATTGACTTTGAATTTTGCATTAACAGTAACTTAATATACATCATACGCGCGTCATAATTTTTTTCGTTACTTTTCCGATTTTCATTTTTATAATATAATAAATAAATGTATATGATCTGTCTGATGATTTTGGAAGAACTTTATTTTTTGGATGATAATGGTCGTTTATGTCTTTGGTCTGTACGATGCAATGATAATTTTACCTGTTGCTGAATGTTTGTCCAGCTGAACTAAAAATATTATTGAATATTATCACTCTTAATCATGAAACACTTCACAAGTACATTTTACTTGTGTATTATATACCTGACCAAGGACTTGTATGGATTAGTTATTACTTATAATACTAGTGTACCTGAAAAATTAATGAAGGTTCAATGGTGCTGTAAAGGAAAAAAAACAAATTCTATATTTTGTATTTTTTAATTATATTTTTACTGGTACTTGTGTACAACATATTATGAACAAATTTTACCCTGTTCAAAAAAAAGAAAAGAAAAGAAAAAGAAACATTTTGCAAGAGTTGTATCTCTTCGTATACACAATGCTTTAACAAAACATTTTGATATACATAACAAAACAATTACCAAATAACTAGATATTGTAGAAAAAACATATTTTTACCCTACCTGGGGCTATTGAAATGGGAAATATTTAAAATCTCAAATAATGTGATGCACAAATTCAAAACTGCCAGCGACATGAAACTCTAACCTCTACCCTTTTTGGGAGGAAATTTATGAAAGCAAAAAAATATATTCCGTCAGAGCTGAAGTTTTTTGCTGCCTTTTCTTAAGATAGATTTTTTATCAAAAAGTATTTCAGTTTTAATAAGAATTTAAATGTTAAAATTAACATACATTTCCAGGAAAGGGGGGATTTGCAAAGAAACTACAAAAAACTCGTTTACATCTTGTTTGGAAAGTTATAGAGTGTGTAATATTATGCCCTTATTTGATGCAAAAATAAACTTAAGACAATTTAGTGTATTGTACAGTATGTAATTATATTCAATGAGTCCACAACTCAGCAGATAATTCCTTTATATTTTTAAAAAACACAAGATCAGAAAGCTTCCAAAACAATTTCCCAAAAAATACCATGTCCAGAGTTAATATGTCCAAAACAAAATTTACAACCACCATAACTGACAAGAAGTTTAATAAAACATGAAGTCTTAAGTCAGCTGGGATTTTCCTGTAAAATCTGAACTCAAAAGGAACAATTGATAATAGTAAACCTGGTATCAAGGTACAGAAGAGCTGTCATCATAAATCAGGCTTCTCTGACAAAATTTCCTCAAATGACCCCATTCCAAAGAAACGAATATCCCTTATTATTTAAAAACAGAAATTCCAGACATTATACACTGTAACAATATTTGTCTTGATACAAATAGGTAATATAAAGGGCTTGTAAATTGTAAACAAAAGAGTAAAAATTACAGGTGTGTAGATTTGTGAGGTGTATAAAAAGAGCACTTAGAAACATCTGTATATATCTTATGTCTCGTTCTGTCTTATTACAAAAACAGTTTTGGTGATTAATTAAACAACAATCATTTTGTAGAATATCTACAAAGAAACAATCTCCCATACACACCCAAGATCATTAAGAATAAAGATTGCACTCTTGCAAAAAAAAAAAACTTCTTTATGGACAGTCTTTCATTATCACAACATACAAAACCTTGCACAACCCAAGCACACATACCACATCCAAACTGACTATATCAAGTATCCAGACAAGCAAGAAAGTATCCATATATACAAAAAAAATCATCTGTATAGCTGAACAAGTATCCAGTTATACAACAAACTATCTACACATCTTACCATGTATCCATACATACAACAAACTATCTAGGCTGCTGATCAATCATTCATACATACACAAACTATCTACACAGCTTATGAAGTATTCATACATTCTCCTTTTATTCTCAGACTGGCATAATGCTTGATTGGACATCTGATTGAAGTTATTTACTTGCTTCATAGAAAAATGCAATGTCTGGGTTTTTCTCTCAGGTCTACACCAAGACAATGGAAATCTTTGGTATACTTTCTCCCTTAATGGCCCTATCTATTATCACAGAATGCAGTATCAAGCATAGTATTGTGTCATATAGATTTTTGTGTCAATTTCACAAATCAGTTGGGTAGCATAAGGAGCACATTTTGTGCCCATTGCTGTACCAAGTATTTCCACCCAAACACACCTGAGTAACAGCACCAGTTGGTCAGTGACTTGAAGTTTGTATCACAGGTTTCTTTGTATCAATGAAATGTTTTATCCAATCACAGGTAGTCTTTCATAACTGCAGAGCTTTTCTCAACATATCAGAATGACTAATTGTTCCACATAGAATACAAAATCCTGTGAGTTGTTTGAAGTCAAACAAAGGAAGTGAGGTATTTTCAGAACTCCTGATTGTGTGTTCAGGGTCCATTATAGGAATACTGCTGCATGTGATGATGTGGGTTATGATGACTCTGTGAAACGGACGAAATGTCTGTGTAAAAGTCTATACTCTGACTATTTTTAGATAACATCTCTCGACTTGACACTATAAGATGAGGGCTAGGCACGCCCGCATACAAGTTTTTGTGTTGTGGTCCATGAATGGGATTCACATGAATGTTTGTTTTGACATCATTTGTGTGTGCAGCCCCCAGATACGGCTCTGGGTCCTGCGTGGGTACTCTATTGAAATGAGGACCATTCACAACTGCCCCTTGGTGGTACTGAGCCCGTCGTCTGCGTTGGAAGAAAAGGAACGCAATGATTATTACAACAAGAAGGATTCCTCCCGGTACACCAACAACGAGAGGAATATTCAGGTTACTGCGATCGATGGTGTAGGCATATTGGTTCTGAGGGTGATCTATAAATAAAAAAAAAACATGGATCAAAACAAAGTTTACAGTGTCATTAAATTCTTCAAATTCTAGAAATAAATCAAAAAGTTTTAATAATGACTTAAATACGTAGAAAAAAGTTTGTCTTTCATACCCGTTCAAGAAAATAAGTATCAAATACGAGTGTTTAAATTCTGACCCAGGATCAGTTGGAGATTTGTATACTTATTAGAATTATACTTACTAGATTGAACAATAAGATGTGCACTACGCCAACTGAAGCCCATTGTGTTGGCCGCCAGACAGATATACATTCCACCATCAGCTTCCGTTACATGATGAATCACAAATTTATTGAGATACGTGCCATCAGATCCACTCCCGATTTCGCTCGTTTTCAGGATGATGAAGGGTTGACCTTTCAGCTTTATAGAGTTGTTTGACATGAATTTAGGGTCATCAACTCTCTTCAGCCACTGTTAGAGAAAATAATTTTAAAAAATTAACAATGGACAAAATTATAGATATAAAATTAGACTCTGATCAGATGTTCAGAAATGTAGTTACTCGGCAAACACTGCTTTGGCTTTTTTTTAATTAAAAGCATCATATATGTATAAAACTCACTTTTATATGTTTTAATCATGATTCCACCGTCATAAAATTCAGACTTAACATCAAAAATAACAACATACAATTATCTCAATCTCATTTCATATTTCCACAAAGTTAAATTATATTGAGATGTATTAAAAACTCCGTAAACATCTGCCCTGATCGAGACGAAGAGATTTACATTAATATAGAAGATTAACTTATCTAAAATACAATGTCTGCAATAAAAGTATCATCTCCCAAAAAACTAAACTGCATCAGAAAATGTATGTTTATAATTAAACACAGAACAGATATTTTAACCTTTGATTTCACCCTGCCCATCTGTTTGTAAGAATTATCCCTCTCTTAGCTACTCTGTTTTTACAGTTGTTCATTAGCTAGGATCATATTCCCCCATTATAAAGGTAAAAACAAATGGACATTCCATTAACAACTTGTGAATATTAAAGAAGCTTAGTTCTAGATCGCTATGTTCATGCTGAATGTGCAACAAGGCCTAACAGATGTTCCTGTGCAGAAAATTTCTCTGTAATTATTATATCCCAGTTCAACTTTGCAAGGGAATGAACTTGATTTTTAATTTTATCATTATTGTAGTTGTCAACAGTCTAAATTTTATCGCGAGACTTCTTCACAGGCCTTGTTAAACTGTGTTCAACCTGTTTACTAAGAAATGGAGGACTCTATGGTCAAAACTTGATCCACCAGCATCAGTTGAGATCTGAACACCAGTTAAGATCTGAAAACTGGATCGAGAGCCGTACCTGAATATGTGGTTCCATCTCACTGTTGATCCTACACTGGAGCTGAGCACTTTCTCCAATCTTCACAGTCGTGTTGAGAGGGTGTGGTGCCAGTAACTCAGGCTTGGCCATAATTTTATCTGTAAATATTATTAATAATGCAGCATTATACAACCTGGCTGACATATGGTCAGGTAACATGACCCAATGGATAGCCTGCTCGCAATCTCAGAATATATATCGTAAACTGTGCACATCAATTTCAAAATTCCTGTAAAACTAATTTATGTCAAACACACCACATTATTATAATTGCCTTCTGTTTGTAATTATACGGTACATTATGTTCACAATTATCATTTCTTAAAATTTAATACATTTTTATAATAATGACAAGTTTATCCCTAAGTGTAAAATCAATACAATGTCAATTAGAGGTAGTTAATTATGTGTATTAATTTTAGTGATTTTGGTTGTCCCTAAAGGTGAAATATAAATGTCTTTTTTCGTATTGTTTTTTTGTTTGTACAAATCTTTAACAATTGAAGGCAAGTTTTCATTGAATTAATTTGAATATAAAATCAATCCATCATGCAGAATAAAACAAATCCGCCCGTAGGCAGAAATCATTTTTTTTTTTAGTTTTGTCTCCAGGGCATAACACATCACTCCCTGTCAAGCTATAAGGTTATTTGAAGTGAACAGAATTTCTATTACTCAAGCCCCATTATTTAGGTTTTCAAAATAATTTCTTGGTGCATTTTCCTATACAGATTTCCACTTTATTCTGATTATTTGACTTTTCTCATCTTTCAACTATCTACAATTTGAAACTGTATTCAGAAGAGAACCACAAGCTGATGTATTTATAAAATACTACACAGGACTAATAACAATGAAGTAGCATTAATGAACTACCTGATGGGATTGTATGAACTACCTGTTGGGCTCATATGAACAAGCTGGTGGGCACACATGAACTCCCTGTTAGGCTCATATGAACCACCTGGTGGACACACATGAACTACCAGGTGGGCACAGACACATATGAAATACTGATGGGCATAGCAAATATTTAAAATCACGAAACTTTTCATGCACAAACAATAGATTTCACCTCTCTCTTGTCAAATACAATTTATGAGGCATTTGACATTGTTTCATCAACATTTGTGAGAATATTCTTACCAATGACTTCAATATGGTAGGTAAAGTTTATAGACCCAAGACGATTCCTAACAACACAGGTATAGTGTCCGGAGTCTGTCTGTTGTAAATCAGGAAGCCGGAGAATCCAGGAGGATTTACGTCCCCCGTCATGTTGGTACAGCTCGTGGTTGTCCTTCATCCATGTTATCTGAGGTCGCGGGTTTCCTGTTGCTTTGCACCGGAGCCGTAGCGAGCTGTTAACCGGTCTGGTGATCTTCTGTCTCTTCATCTTCTCTGGGTTGGTAAACCGAGGTGATGCTATAGAAAGAGGAAATTCAATTTGATGACAAAATCATGGAAGCACAACAATTTATTTACATCTACCTACCAATTTCATATCATTTATCTGAGGGCATTACATTAAAAGTTTTATTCATTAAAGTCAGAAACAAGCTATATTCTGTCTATGGTTAAGAAAGGAATTCACAGGCTAACAATTGAAAACCAGAAGTCTCTAATGAGACTGTAGCTCTACTGGTCTGTAGATATAACAAAGGAAAAGTAGCACTTGGATTTGAAACTTTGCAACATGCAGCAATAAATAGAATAATGTATCTTAATGTATTCTACTTGTGTGCCAAGTTATATTGAAATCAGACCAAAACTGAAGTAGGAGTAGCATTTTAAAGAAATTTCACAGAAATTTCTATTTTTAGTAACCATGACAACACCGTTCATCGAAATCAAAAACCGATGCACTAAATTATGCATCTTAGTGTAGTCTACTTGTGTCCCAAGTTATATTGAAATCAGACCAAAACTGTAGGAGAAGTAGCATTTTAAAGGAATTTTAGAGAAATTTCTATTTTTAGTAACCATGGAAACACTGTTCGTGGAAATCAAAAACCGAAGCACTGAATTATTAGCTTAGTGTAGTCTACTTGTGTGCCAAGTTATATTGAAATAAGACCAAAACTGTAGGAGGAGTAGCATTTTAAAGGAATTTCACAGAAATTTCTATTTTTAGTAACCATGGCAACACTGTTCATTGAAATCAAAAACCGATGCACTAAATTATGTATCTTAGTGTAGTCTACATGTGCCAAATTATATTGAAATCAGACCAAAACTCTAGGAAGAGTAGTATTTTGAAAAATTGTTTACAGACGGACGGACGGACGACGGACACCCTACTATCGCATAGGCTCTTCTGGTCTCTGACCAGTAGAGCTAAAAATGTAATTTTTATTATCATCAGAATATACATCATTGATTCTTAAATGAGAGAAGAGGCCAAGGAATAAGATTTTCTCCTCCCCTCCCCCCCCCCACCTCCCCCTAGATTTAGCATTTTGATAAGATTTCCTCAAGGGGTGGGGGTTAATTTGGTATGAAGAGACCCATGAATTCATGTCCACCATGAAATGTAAAATTTCAAATAAATAATAACCAAGCACTTCTTCATCCATGAAATGAAATCCCCACAAACCAATATTTTTTCCTCAAACCATGAAAATTTGACCCCCTGAAAATATGTAATTTTACAGTAGCCAAGAGGAACTGCTTTGGTCTGGGGGTCTCTGTTCTGGAGTACAGAAGCCCCTTTTGGGTGGGGTTGGGAAGGATAGGGGGGACAGGGGGCAGTAGAAGGGATGAGAGCTGCTGGGTTCTGGGGGGCCTCTGAAGTCCTAGGCCTGGAGTCACTATAGTCTGAGGGCCAATGGTAGACTGCATACCTCCTTCCTTGGTGAGATCTTCTTCATGTGACTTGGCATAGACCTGCGTTCCATCCACAGACACTACATCTTTTTCTTCATCTTAAAAATACGTAAAAAGAGAAATAATGATCATAATCTGTTACAAGACAGCCATACTGATAATGTACGCACCATTGATATGGGCTTTGGTTTCATGAACTGATAAACAAGAAATCTTTGTGAAAATAAAGCTGTCATTAGTTCAATGTACCTACACTGAGAAACATCCATTAAAACTCAATATTTACAATATTTCCACAGAGCGGTTTATAAAAATGCACAAAAAAGCACGCCAACACAGCAGCCTGCCATGTGCTTTTTACCCCTGGAAATGCATCACAAAAAATGTTTGGCAGACCTTTTTTTTTTTAATTTTTCCTGTTAAAATTTTAATTCAAAAAGTACAGCAGCTTCCTGCTTTGCTCAGCTGGGGTTTGTCCATTATTCCCTCCCCAGGGATGTTACGACAATGTGCCGAGTGTAACGTCCCACCGGGAGGATAAAAGCTTTAAAACACTTAAACTTTTTTATCAACTAATTTTGAAATCAGATGATAATTTGTCGGTGCATAGCACTAATCTTATGACAACAGGAGGCCAGATAGACTCCAATTCATGGAAGCAAAGAATGCCGGTCTTTCTGCCAACGGCCAGTAATTCCATAAAGAAATGGCAGGCCTCTAGGAGGAAACAGCCCTAAGGTGCTGGTTTTTAAAAATTAACATTTATTGGTACATCAGTGTGATTCTGAGTTTAGACAGACATTGTGGCACTTTTTTACTTGTCTGAAAATTTGGTTAGATAAAATAAAGAACTGGAAAATTTACAACAAAAAAGAAAAACTCCATCAAAATAATAAAAAAAAATTGAAAAATAAGCCATGGAATAAAGTCAAATAAAAATTTATCGAGCTTCAAATTTCTTATTTACAAAATGAAATTCTGAAAAATCTTGCTTTACAACACTGGACCAAAAGAAAAATGATTCTTTCATTCAAATTAGGCTTAAATCTAAATGAACAGTGCACATAGGCAAGCTAAAGAGTCCGTGGGTCTGTCAATGAACTTCATTTTATCATATAATTAATATTAGGTGATTGTTAAAGCTTATAACCATTTAACTGCTATCAATCAAATCACGGGAGGGGGCAGAGAGATCGAGTCACAATAGAGAAGTTGTTCTTAGAGGAAGGGATCAGTGGGCAATAACAAAGAAAGTGTTTAATTAACCCTACACAGGTCTCCCAAACTGCTAAATACCAACTCAATATGACAGTAAAAAAGATCAGGTGTCAATTCATAAGAAACAACAAGACACTAAAAAACTTGCAATTTTATGCAAAATAAAAAAAGAACATTAGCATTAAATTCATTCATTTTGTAATGGATGATGCATCCAGCTGAATTACAATATTTTCATTGATATATATCAGGGTGATTGATGTTTTATTAATGTACATGCTATTATCAAATTTAAGGTAATTAGCTCTGAACTCCAGCATGGTTTTCCCTCCTCTTTCTAAATCGCTTTCTGATCTGAAGAGTGTATAAAATTCAGTGTAACTTAATATCCTTGATTTTCAAAACAAACACGCACAGCCTACACTTATTTGGGAGACTGGTTTAACTTTTCACTTGTACGCTCTTTTTTTTCTTATCAAACGTCTATCCACTTTCTTAAAAATCTCCCCTCAGAACCTCCCTCTAGTTTGGGTGGGCCGTGAGATGAAGTTTCACCCTGTTCTTACTTTTCTCCTATTACATGGGTACATTTTAAACATTAAAACTCCTTCACTTCCATTCTTATTTCTACCCTTAAAGTAAGCTGCATATGTGCGATATAAAATATAACACATTTTATCTCCTCTTTAAAAACTATTACACATTAAATATTCTTCACAGAGTTCTTTAACAATCCTTGTAAGGGATCAGATTTCCCGTACATAAATCAAAAAAGTCTTTAGAGAAAAATGAAATTCTACACAATTGGCCTTTTAAGTTTATGATAATCTCTAACACATTAAAGTTGTGGATAAACTTGATCACTGTGTTGTTAACAGATCTTCATAATATTGTAAACATCCCTAGAACTAGTCAAAATGTGACTATTATCGCCCTCCGAATCAGCCCGTCATATTTGCATACTCTATGCTCTCACAAAGACTGGACGACAGAATATGAAGAAATATGACCGAGCGCGATCAGACTTCACTAGTCGTGATATGCACTCATAGATAATCATCGACTCTGTACCCAAACAAAATACACCTATGAAATCGGAGAGAAAAGAAAAAACAGGAGGAATCTTAATACCCTCATGAAATATTCACAGATCCTAAGACTTAGTGACAGACATGATTTACTTGACAATATTAGAATTCTGGATGCTCATCTTGTAACAACTTATTAAAGCTACATCTGAATGGTAGACATGTTGTTTAGGTTTACTAAAGTTAATTTATCCCCATGCTTCCACTAATTAAATCTGAAAACAGAGGCTACAGGCCGCAACATATAAAATTTCAGGTCAAAAATATTAATTAAACGCATTCTTTCCTAAAATTATTAGGGATATATGAAAATTTATGATAAGCTGAACTCAAAAACTTATCATTAAAAACAATTTATACTTTCAAGAAGTTTCTTAAATGGCAATCTATGAGGACAAGAAAAAGAGAAATTGAATGTAAATCTCAAATACATGCAACAAGCACCTGCAAAAAAGAGAAACTATAGGCTAATATCGACAGAACTTACAATTTATGCATCATATCATAGCAGGATGAAAAAAAAAGAAGAGAACATCGCTAGGGGGAGATGATGCAGGAACATTATACGACAGGTTTTTGTCTGAGGCTGCATTTGTCAGGACGACATGAGGATAATTATTGCATAATACACGTCAACTGTTAAACAACAAAGAAGGTGTCACTAATGACTGTGAAATGCAGCGACTACTGAACGAGATTCTATCTTAGCAGTTAAACCAAATATAGTGGAACGTGTGGAATAAAATACCTGGATGACACTAATTACTATTAATTGAACATCAGAAAAATGATCTTAATGTATCTTTGTCTAAATCTGTGATGGATTCAATCCCCCACTGTTGTGTCACAAATTTACAGTTGCTATTAACAGCACAAAAAATCAAGTGCTAAAATGGTATTTTTATTGAAGTTTTGGTTGAACAGTGAATATTTAAGTGTGATAATTGCTATTGTGAAAAAGGGAAGTATAATCTAGGAGATATTTATTAAAGATTTGTATCCAAATTACGAGATTAACTCTGGCATACAGAGCAGAGAAGCTAGACAGTCATACAATGTCAGATTTTTTCTGTTTCTTTTGCCCAGGTATGGATGATAATTAGGGTTGGACATGTAAATCCCCAGGCTTATGCAGACCTGACAATAAAGCTGAGGTCAATAGGTCACTGAACCTGACCCCTGTGACTAACAAAGTCAAACTCATTCAACATCTAAGGCTGGAATTTCAGATGAATTTTTTTCGTCATTCCTAAGGATTTTTTTCTTTCAAGGATTAATCACCAGATCAGAAGGGGTTGTGAATTAGATATCCCTGATTCGTGTTGATGTCTGTCAACAGATTACAAGGATATCAGCTCTGGTAGCTATGAAAAACTGAACTCCCCCTTTCCGTACAATGTACATATGTCATCACCCGAAGGAATCCAATTTTCCAACTTCTTTTTGTATTTATATACATCCTTGATTAATGATGATTGTGATAGAAATCAGATCCTGGGCTCGACAAGGCTCAGGCCACCATTTCTCTACTCAAGTGGTTCTAAAAATCCTTCTTTTTTTCTAATGGTGTTGTTTTAGCTTTCACAATGACAATTTGTAAGAACATGTACCACCCTCTGAATAGACATGAATGACATGCCCTTTAGGTATGGGATAAAACTCTTTGGATTTTATCAGTCAGTTTCACTCAGTAGTGCCAAAGAAATATTAAAAGTCAATATTTTGATAAGACCACAGAACTGGGGGACAAAGAGAGCTGACCCCTTTTGTGGTGGACGGAGGGCCAGAAGCCTTCAATGGACAGGAATGTTTATTTATAATTATCCTTCTAAATCCAGCAGTCCATCCGAAATGGAGACCAGGGGCTTAATTTTCTCCTCATCTCCACCATTTGTTAATTTGGAGACGTCACATGACATGTTGTAAAACAAGATGACATGCACTTACATTTTCTCTGACAATCTACCCTCTCCCCCCTTCCCCCATACCACTGCACATTCAATGAATACTTATTAAATCTTCACAATGCAACCAAAACTTCTCATCTCTGACAAATCAATACAGTGTGTAGCTTTTTTCTGACTACATTCATTATTTTTAATCTTGGTGTAAAGAATTTAGTTAAGGGCCACACTGTTGACAATGGGATAGTTTTCCAATCCAAGAAATGAGATTAGACATTAATACAACGGAGAAAGACTTGTTGTTGAACTCTCAAACGTAGTGGATCAAGGAATAGAAAGATCAGTCAATATAAAGTTAATAATAAAGAAATTAGATTACTGGCCAGTTCTGGCCTTCCCTGTGTCACCTTTTCATGGTCATATTTGAGCCTAACCCCAGTGTGCACAGGTGTTAAATACAAAATCAAATATGAATTAGTTGCCATTTTTAAGACATGTCTATTGTACAAAAAAAGTCATGGAATATTTTAGAACATAATAGAAATGTCTAAATATTTAACTAATTTTTATTAACATTTTAACGTTTTCTAAAACAAAAATATTCAAGTTTCTTCTGAAATTTACAGGGTACAACTATTATAACTGCCGATTTATATTTGACTGGTTTGATTCTAGGGGTAACAAAATTGCAATACAAATACCCCGGTAATTCATACTGAAGTTACGGCATTTGGATCTTTAATATCTAAATGTTGTAAATCATGACATCTAAATAAATTAACTTTTGAGAGGTGCGAGCAACACTGCTGCCATCTTTATCACAAAAATAACCGTAAAAACAAAGGGTGTCGCTGGCGACAGTCGATAACAGCTTATCAAGTGTGTTTGACTTTCTCAACTCCAAGACCTCCAAACGTCAACTCCACTTTTCAAAATGTACAAATAATTGTCCTTCAATTGAATGTGCAAATGTTCATTTTCGTTAAATTAGCAACTAGACGTTTGAAAAATACTTAATTTGGGCCGAGGAACAGAAATAGATTTGAGTTTTCGTCTCTCTGGACCCTGACATTACAGGAATTGAGTGAGCCGTGTACAACAATCGAGGAATCTGGTGTCGCAAGAGGAAGATTTTGTTTACACACAAAAAACCTGGGATTTACTTAAATCCAGCCTCATCTGTTACACAATTTTATTTAAAAATCCATGAAAAAATTATTAATTTATTTCAACGAGTATGAAAAATATAACTGAAATCTCACAATTTAAAAAATATCTTTTGGACAAAGGTGGTTCGATCTGCAGCCCTGGACAATAAACAAATTCAAATTTAACTAAAACTGCATTTTTCTTATTGAAAGCTTAAAAGTCAATGAGAAAAGGATGAGCAAAATTTCATTAATTAAGAAAAATTACATTTTAAATTAACTTAGAGCCTGTAACTATAAAAATTTATAATCCTAAAATGATTGGCCTTCCTAACAGTAGAACAGGTGCCCTGTGTTTACCATTACAATTCAGTCAAGGACAAACTGATATCAGTTATGACAGAATTATGATGTGTCTCTGCTAATGACCCCGACATCTCAGCTGGCCAATAAAATCCACCACAGTCCAGCCAGACTGACCAGACAGGACTAGATTGACCATAGAGAGAGGCCATAAATCTCCTAAAGTATATCCTGCTGATTGTGGGGTCAGCTGAGGAGAGATGGGGGAATATGGGTTTAGTCGGGGAAACAAACATTAATGCTTACAACAGAGCAGACCCTGGATAGGAATAGCATCAATGGTGCCTACAACACAGTAACCCTAGGACAAGAATACTGTGAGATCACTAATTTTCATGGTGGTTTAATTTTAGTTGTTTTTGAGGTATGAAAAAACTCATGAATTTATGTCCACACAAAACATTAAATTTCATACAGTATTCATAAATACTCATCACCTCTTCAATCAAGAAATAGATTCCCTTTTTTTCCCTTAAACTTCGAAATTTTGACCCAACAAAAATATGAGATTTTACAGTAACATCAATGGTGGTTACAACAGAGCAATCCTAGGATTACTCTCTGTAGAGAAGTGGACAGACTTTTGCCTACATCCACAGATGTAGGATAGGCTTTCACCTACATCCACCGATGTAGGCAAAAGCCTGTCCACTTCTCTACAGAGAATACCCTAGGAAAGGAATAGCATCAATGCTGGATCATTGAATGTGTAACAAAATGTCTCACAGTTAATTGGAATATTACTCTATTAAATAAAGTCTAAAGAATGATAAAACCAATAAGATATGTGGGACAGTGTGATCAAGATATAGAATAGCAAAACAAATTTTACAGGAAATTCTTTAAATTATCTAGCAAACACAAATCTGTCTCCTTTTTCTATACATTTCTTTTGGCGCTACTTGGGGTTAATTTTAGCTTCTCATTCATCAAAGACCTCTCTCTCTCTTTATATATATATATATATATATATATATATATATATATATATATATATATATATATATATATAGTTATTGACACAGTTACAGGAAACTAGTTTTCATCATCTTCGAACCCTCCCCCTCTGAGTACACCTGCACCAAACTCCACCCCTCAGCAAGAGACAACTTCACTAAATGTAACCTCATTTCTTTCTCCCTAATCTTTACTTAAACTTCAGTATTTGTTTAATCAACAGGGAAACTAAAACACTGTAACACTCCATCTGAAACAACACATCACAGGATGCAGGAATAATTACCCCCCAATCCCTCCCCAAACTTTTCATGTCAAAATCTGCATCAATGGGATCCTATCCTTAAAATAATGTTTGTTTTCACCTAAAATTAGTTTCGTTAAAATGCTTACAATTGGTGAGAATAACGAAGACCCATTTACTCAATTATTCTGAGGAGGATGGATGAGATATGCAAGCGCGAGTGATGGGAGGGAATTGACCAAGTCCAGAAGTTGGGCCAAGAATCAGGTCAAGTCCAAAATAATTGGTTCCAAATGCTCCAATCAGAACCTTATAGCTCGACCTGGAAATACTTTCCAAGACTGTTTATGACACAAGAAATCTGCAATTTCCTTTCGGTATGTAGTCAAGCAATTGATTTTCCATCTTCTATCATAATAACTTTAAAACCTTCCCAGAGTCCTATTATCCGATGAACAAGTTGATTCCAGCCGATTTTTACAGGAAATGGACATACTGATGATGGGAATTTTCTCTCTATGTGTAAGCCAATTAGGAACAAGAAAATGCTGACAAGAAATGTTTATCACCCAGCTTATAGCATCTTATTGCCACCAGAAGCAGCTTTAGACCAATTTCCCAATCTTTTCATTAATAAGAAGGCCAACAGGATTTCCAAGAGAAAACTGGTCAGAAGTGATTCATTGTCAACATATACAATGACTAACACTGCAAAGGACAGTTTCTGGTCACTGGCAGGTGTTAAAAACTAAATAACATTAAATGTTCAATTTGCAAAATATTTCACATGGGGGGGGGGGGGGGGGGGGCACCAATATCCAAATTTACACAATTTTCTCTGGATTCGATCAACCTCATAAAAACTAAATCCTAGAACACAGACCTTGGGGCATCAGCCTAGTTAACAAGCCTTGGTTCCATTTTTACAAGACTAATTAGTAAAGGGAACCTTATTAGTCATTTTGAGATGAAGACTGAGACATTCCTAATAGATCAGTTTCATCTGTTGTCCATTATAAAAATGGCCATCTAACCTATACCTCTATATCCCCCATCCATCACTGCCCAGACAAACTCAGAACCACATCAGTTTTCTGAAGAAAACTTCCTTCTTTTGTCAAATACATCAATAGAAGAACAAGACAGATGGAATCTAACAAAGTTTCCGATACACACAGAATCAAGTTTTGCATAAGGCAGACTTGTTTGAGATAATGGAGGTCATTTCCCTTTCATCACATAGCACAATGGCTTATAAACACAAAATCCAATTGATTTCTATTGGACACCAATGAAGTAATCAAGTGAATTTCTTTCCATGAACCCAGCAAAGAGTTGTTCCCCTTTTAAATTTGACATTTGGGAGTTAGCTCACTTCATGAAAAACTTACCAACAACAATTAGCGTATAATTAACCCTAATACTGCCGAATCCATTGGTCGCTTTACAAACGTATCTCCCAGCATTCTCCACTTCTATCTGTTTAATCCGTAAAGATCCATCCTTTAGTACTTTATGGTTTTCCCACAATTCATTTATACTTTCACCGTCTTTTTTCCATTCTATAAATGGAAATGGGTCACCCTCCACCTGACACAGTAATTTTTTTGTATGATTCACTTTCGCTATTTGTCTCCCCTTTCCATCACCGACATACTTTGGGGGACCTGGAAAAATCAAAACAAAAGATTTATAATAGGGATATTAGTCATACTACATAGCATACCATGTTTTCTATAATACTACCTTAAGGCTTTATTATGGCATTAACTGGGTCAAATACAATTTATAATTCTTACACCATAAACCAAACCATTGGTGAACAACATGGCAATTGACTTTCCTGTTATTATAAATTTGTGTTTTGTATTGATTTTGAAATGTTTGTTCTCTTACTCACAGAAAAGTCAACTAATTCACCTATCTGATGCCTGCTTTATAAAACTCAGCTGATGATCTGATTGAAAAATGACAACAAAATAATTAACCATGCAGAAAATGATCTAGAATCAGAGCTCCATCATAGAGATGTCATACGATACATGATGACAATGTACGTAAGCCTCTCTATGAGTACTCGGACTGTGCCTTGTTCATTTTTGGGGGATGTTTTACAGAAGGTTAATCGTTTGAGTTACAACATTTCCCGTGTTTTTGTTGTTGGACAATAGCAGGTGCCCTTTATTCAATCTCATACAGACACCAGTCTTCATTTCTGTTAAATACCACACAACATATGTACATCTCCATTGTACTTTTATCAATTTAAAACTTTTTTTTGTTACATTTTTTGCTCTGCTACCGTAACACAGGCTATCTCTCCCGTTAGTCTGTGCACATCTTCCACTAATTCTTCTCTCTTTTTTACTCTTGAATTGCTGAGTTTTAGGACTTGGAGCCAAACCAGGCTTCGACAGTGTTAGTTTTTGTCTAGGCTGGTGCCTTAAGTGGCCAGAAATGCCGATAATGTGTAAATAGCCAATTATCCTTTTCAAAAACTAAAATTAAAAAGTTGTGCAACATGATGTAGCATGTGCTATCTGAAAATTACAACACTTGAGAAGCCGCTACTCCCAGTCAGGTGGCTTAATGAAAACATCCCTCCAGCTTCATAAAGCGCCGCTCACAAATCATAATTCTCACCAATAAATCCAAGGGGGGACGGCAAATGCAGTTATAATGTATCAAAAGTTTAACAGGTTTAAGTGCAGGCAGCAGGCATCGAATGCTAGCCTGGCTTCCAAGGAATACATGCAGATTCCTTTCACTCGTGACATATCCTAACCAAAGATAACTGTCGACCTTGTCAAGTATAATGGATCTGTCAAATGAAAAGCTTTAACATTCTAATACACAAAACCAATCAGTGACTTAAGTTGTCTACTCTAAATGTTCCATGTTCTACAATTCATTGTGGCTGCTTAAATATTCAAGCCTTTAGAAATCCATTACTGCTGATAGTAAAAGAGAATATCTTTAATTTATTCAAGGGTTTAATCGAGTTGCAGTGATTATCGGCCTGCCAATATTGCATGTTCTCAGCATGTAGACCTCTGTGGCATTTATACAGCCTACACCAGCTGTTCAGGGGGGCCAGCTATTATTCCGGCTATGTTACCAGCTGTTTAGGGGGACCAGTTGTTATTTTGGCTATGTTGCCAGAGCTGTCAGAAAAACTACTCCAATCAGTTTTAAGAATTTCTTGTAATTATTAAGATCTTAATGCAGTGCTAATGATTTTAATGGGTAACTTGTGTTTTAGTTTTAATGAGGATGTGTCACAGTCAGTAGGTTTGGGGAACTTGGGGATTTTTCTTCATGCTACTGGAGAGAAATGGGGAGAATAAGCCACGGAGTTACTTCCATACAACAAATGGAGACTCCATATTATCTGAATTTGAGTCTTGAAAAATATTAATGCTTTTTAATTCCTGCCTTCTTCATTGCAAAGTTTACAGTTGACTGATGAAAATAATATGATTAAGATAAATATCATGTATTAATAAAAGAAAACAGAGAAATGGATTATAATAAATAAAAAAGAAAAAGGAACATCTTTGATTGTTAAGATAAAGCTAAAATAAAGAAAAATGAAGTAGAAAACAGTTATCAATCCCTGATTACAGAAATCTCTCTGCCTCTGACAGAACAGAAAAAAAGTCACTTAGCAAATCAAAGATGGCAAAACTTGATACCTAACTCAGAGCTGTTATTGTTTAGAGTTTCTAGTCTTGAGCTAATGGCTCCTAAATGATATTTAGTAATTAATACCACACATTTCCCCACTTCAGACAGATAGCCCCCCCATCAAAGTAAATCGGGGCTGTTATTATTTGATTGGGGAGACCCCTCACGACTGCTTTCTCTGGTGATAAAGATGCCTTCTATAATGTAACAGAGCCGTGCCTTCTCTGATAAAAACAAGTACATGATTCCATGACTAACTTAACATATAACTTGCTTTCTACTAATAAATATGCGTTTCCTTGAGTAACTAAGGCATCAAAGACGTAAGTTTCTACAGAAGCTTGATAAGAAATTATGGCCACACGTACAGCACCGTTTCCGAGTGGAACATGATATGGACTCCTTACATGACCAGTGGCCACCATGGACCTGAGTCATTTACTAATTGGGGTCCAGTCAGTGGTCACAGTAAGTAATTAACCCCTACAAGCCTCCAATATTTCCTTCCATTTAATTAACCCCTGATCTCCTATTCCCTTTCCGTGATGTACAGCCATGAATCTGTTAACCATTGACATTCCTTACTCGGTATCATGAATTAACATGTATCAATAAACCTAAATTTTCTACATATTATAATATATATAACCTAGATTTTTCTCTAACATACTTGTTGACAAATAAATTTTTCCATGTGAAAAAAAATCTTTCTCAATTGTAATTTGATACTTTTGGAAAATGATAAAATTTTGCAGCTGCATTTATTTATATACTAGTATTTCATTGCAAGATTTTTTTGGCAAAAATTGCAGATGTTTTTTTATGCACATTAAGTTTTCTGTACACAATGTCACATTTAAGATCTCTATCTGGGCTATATAGTGATACACGTCTAATTTCCCATAATTCAGTGTACCCTATACCCAGTATTTATCACATTTATACACGAGACTCCAACTCCAGCTTTGATATGTCTTTCCTGGCATATTGAGCTAATTTTTTCATCAGAATCTGCAGCTAAGTATGTGTAGCTGTGGGTATCCCCTAATTCGATTACCCAAACCTCCTATCCCTTTAATTCATAGCTATATCCAAGTAATTCAATTACCAGAAGAACCGAGATTTTTTTTTCGTTTTTAACTGCTGCATTTATCACTACATAACATTCAGATCATAAACATGCTAATCAAATTTCTTGCGATTCGATTACTGGAAATTATTTCTGTACCAGGCAGACATTTCAAGAAAATTAAATGAAAACAATAGCTCTAAAAAACTTCACAGGAGAAAATCAGGAACATGCATGCAGTGCAGAATGGCAGAGCTACAATGCCGATTATTCGTCTCAATTATGTGTCTGCACTTTGAATATTGGTATATACTTGTACAATTTATCCTGCTAAAGTTAGATCATAAAATGCCAGTTATCTGTAAACTTTGGCATCTCTGGTACTAAATGCTACACCATCACAAAACCAAACACACAGAAACACGAAAAAACATGACAAGTTACACAAGAACTGCATTTATGGCTCGTTAAAAAATGCTACTCATTAATAGAGCTAAAACAGAGCCATTTATACTCAATATCAATATTTTTATGAAATAAAAATGTCTCAGGAACTTAAAAATAACACGGGGGACTTCTGCAGGCCATAAATAATGCATTAAGCAGCTTCCTGAGAACTAAAAACCCAAACAATTAACACCAATGTAGCAGTGTTTCCTTCACCCCCCACTGCTCAGAGGAAGCTCAAAAACATCCAGTGTGTATAAATTTGTCATTTTTTGTTTCCTTGTACAGATCTTGATGTTTTGCCCTTGTCTGTCATTCTAGACCAGGTCTCGGGAGTTATGTTTCTGGTCAGCCAATGACAAACAGCCTTACCAATCGCAGGGTGATGAAAAAGATCGACCAATGGCTGGGTGATGAAAAAGATCTCGCGACTTGTGAAGCAAAGCGCATGGTCTCTAAAAGATCAGAGGAATTCATGTAGAAAAACACACACCTAGCAAGAGAATAAACTCATCTTGCAGGTGCTTAAGCTAAAACATCAAGATGAATGTGCTTGAACACCAAAGGCCAATTCCTGGAGAAATTACAGTAATTTTCTACCTTAATAAGATAATTTTTAAATCAAGAATTGCGTGAAGATAAATGCGTGTTTCCAGGCCATTACACACATTCTGTTTAACTCTGTGGTAGTCTTTGCTAAGGCAAGCATTCTTCCTGTGTTTGTCACAGAATGACCTTGACCTTCGACCTTGGTTCCCATCACCACTTCCCACCCAGGTAGAAACTGATGACAGAATGAGATCATGATCAGGACAAACTGTCACTATAATTACACCATCTGCTCTGATCCAATCTTTTTCTTTTCATTTTTTTTTCATCCATTAAATAATTCTCTTTTATTTGTAAAAAGAGCAGGCAGAATTCAAAATTCTACATCCACAGCTGCAAAAGATGTATTCTTATTTAAAAAATTATCAAGCCTAAAATAATTAAGCATTTATACACTGCCCACATTTGAGAAAATTTAATTTCAGATTAAGATTCCTGATAAATTACTAAGAAATTAAAAAAATATTAATTTCAATCTACATCCTGCATGCTAACTCAAATGTACCAATTAGTCACTAAAATTATTCCCATATTTCTCATATATATGTAGGATAGTTCTAATTGTTCCAACATAATCCATTAGACTTGAAGAATCTAGATTGTTTCATTATGATTGTACAATTTTTATTATAGTTTTGTAATTAATTTGTTCTAGCTGTTCATGAGAATCTCAAAAAAAGGCTAAATTTGGTCAAGTTTTAGCAAACTGTTCATAAACTGCATGTACATCTTTAAAAACTTCACTCACTGACAATTTTCACTAACAGATCTATTAGTACTCTCTCTCTCTCTCTCTCTCTCTCTTAGTTAAGAAACTGTGTAGGGAGACATATGCCTGTGGGTTTTATTTTTAGA